GTATTTACTGACTTGAAAGGATTTAGTTAGAAACTACATTTAAATAATTTGTAATACTGCCTAATGTACAGAAAGCACCCGACCCAACAATTAGCCAGTGAAATTCTAGCTAAGATATGCAGTGAATCAATACATGCATCTGTCTGGGCCTGTATGTGGCATTTCTTTTTCTTTTTCTTTTCTTTTTTTGGTCTTTTTGAGACAGTTTCCCTGTAGCCCCAGCTGTCCTGGAACTCACTATGTAGACCAGGCTGGCCTAGAATTCATAGAGATCCACCTGCCTCCCGAGTGCTGGGATTAAAGGTGTGCAACATCGCGCCTGGCTCTGTTGGACTTTCTAGTCTTGCTTTTTCCTGGCTTTTATGTGGATGGTAATTCACACCTGAATTTCTATGTTTGTGTTGCAGACCTTTTACTGAGCCATTTCTCCTGCCCCTATCTTTGCTGCTTAGCCACTACCCACTTCCAAAGTCTCACGTAGTCTAGACTGCTTTTGAACTCTGTATAGTAGCAGAAGCTGGCTTTGAGCACTTGAATTTCTTGCCTCCACTTGTGGAGCGCTGAGATTACAGGCATGCGCCACTACACCCAGCTTAGCCTTCTGTCTAGCATTTCTTAAGTACTGTGGAAGAAAGAGGAATGAAATTAGGAAGCAAGGACAGGAAAGAAGTGTGTAATATATGGGAGCAAAAAAAGGAGGGGCTGGAGTGATGGCTCAGCAGTTAAGAGCACTGACTGCTCTTGCAGAAGACCAGGGTTTGTTTCCCAGCACCCATGTGGTGGCTGACAACCATATGTAACTCCAGTTCCAGAGGATCCAATGCACTCTTCTGGCCTCCACAGACATTGCATGCATGTAGTGCACCTATATACATACAGGTAAAACACTCATGCACAGAAAATAAAAATAATTTTTAAAAGAATAACGAGGAAAAGTACTAGGAAGTATGTGATGCAAAGAAACATTAAGGAGACTCAATTATTTTTCAGAGCAGTGCAGACCTATTTAGAGATAAATTTTTTAAAATTCAGTTTTATCACAATTCTAATATTTATTTTTATATTATGTTTATGAGTGTTATGCCTGCATGTATGTAAGTGCACCCGTGTCATGCAGTGCCTGTGGAGGACAGAAGAGGGTGTTGAATGCCCTGGAACTAGAGTTATGGATGGTTGTCAGCTGCCATGTGGGTGCTGGGATTCAAACCCTTGTCTTCTGCAAAAACAGTCAGTGCTCTTAACCACTGACCCATTTCTCCAGGCCCTTACCACAATTCTTGAACATATCAAATTTCACTGACTTGTGGTAGTGTTCTGGGTCAGGGAAATATTAATCCTTCTTTAATATGTCAAAAATTGCTTCTTCCATAGGTTGGAGAGATGGCTCAGTGGTTAAGAACACTGACTGTTCTTGCAGAAGACCTGGGTTTGAATCCCAACACCCACATGGCAGCTAACAACTGTCCGTAACTCCAGTTCCAGGGGATCTGACAGTCTCTTCTGTCATTCATGGGCAAGTGGGTATTGCATGACACGGGTGCACTTACCTACATCCAGGCAATACAAACATAACACATAAAATAAAAATAAATAAAAAATTTAATTGCTTCTTTCATTTTGAAACTCTGTGCTTGGGTTTGGATATACAGGTCAGTGGAAGGGCATTTGTCCAGCACGCACAAGGTTCCAACCCCAGCACTACAAAATTAAATTAAATTAAAATTAAAATGTATGCCTGTCTATCAGACTGCAATCTCCAGGACAGCAGGGTCTGTCCTTTGCCTCTCTGTATCCCTCGTGTGCCCTATCTAATTACGCTAGAATTCAAGTAGGCAGTTAACTACTTCTGGCTGAATTGTAGCTCTAGCTTACTCAGTGCAAGCAGGTTATTGTGAGACTATGTTCTGTCAATCTGAATAAAGAAGGTTCTCTGAAAACAATTGGTACTGGCTGTCTACCTAAAGGCTCCTGACTCTAGTGGGAAGCAGATACTGCTCTCGTTTGTAATCAGAGCCTGAATGAGGCTGATAAGGAAAGTATTCTCCAACGGGATCCCACAGCCCCGCCACTGGAAATTCATTGCATATTCTGGTGCTGCTATGACACCATCGATCTTCTTGGGTATTATACAGAAAGAACCCTCAGCATGCCAGACTGTTTCCCGAAGCACTGTATGCATGCAGCATCCCATGCAAAGCCTCCCAGATCTATGATGGGGGCTCTCCGGGGGTTTTGCTTTCCTAGTTAAGCAGAAAGATGCCAACCACAGGTTGTAACTCTGAAAGTCAAAAAGGGCTCTTCTTCAGCAACCATTCTACAACTGCCCAGTCACACAGGGTGTTCTGTGATATACACACAAAAAAATCAACAAATTAAAAAAAAGAGTTATATTTAAGGAGGAAACATAAAAAATTACATCATGTTAATTAGAAGTGATAAACATTACCACTGAAATCTGCCTGATGACTTTATATCCATACACAGGTGCCAAGGATCCAAGTGCAACCAACTATGACTAATAATAATCAGATACATTCAGATTAGAGAGTGTGTGCCAACATCTAAGTGTTATTAGCAAAAACAATGCGTCTTTCTGTAAGAAACAGTATATTTTAAAATGAAATGGAGATCTTTTTTAAAGGTTAAAAATTCATTCAATTTTATGTCTTACAGGGTTTATACTGAGGTTCAATATTATATAACTGTATTAATTCAACTGTGAACCTAAAAATTTTATAGCTATTTTTGAAAGAGATGTATCTTTGCTCTGGAAATTGTTATCAAGTATGTTAAAGCTGTAATGAAATGCTTCTTCTAAAAAATGAAGGAAACAAAATAAAAAAAGTAGCTAATCAATGACTCAGAACACAGGAAATAAAGCCAGAATGAGAAAGACCATTGGGAGAGCAGAGCTCCATTACACAGGACTGATAATGATACTGTCCACTATAGAGAAATCAAGCTGAAGCTGACCTGAAAACTTCCTGCTGGCTAGCTTTTATAGTGCTGGAAGGTGCTACACAGGCCACTAGGGGAGAAAAGTCATCAATGATATCATCCAGCAGCAAACCCTGCATGCTACAATACCGATCTGCCAGGCAAGATGCACCCACTGGCGTAATGGTGACACAAAGTTTATGGGGTTAACTAACTGCTTTGGATTAGATCTGTGGCCTGCTCTACAGGAGGGAATTCATGCCTGGTACCATAAACCTGGTCAAAAGCCCATGGATGGGGAGGTCACAGGCTCAACGGGGGAACCTACTACTGTTGTCTTGCTAAATGGACATGCAGTTAGTTAAACTGCCTGTTAAATACTTATTTTTTATATACATAGATTAGTGCTGCCCTCAACCTTGGTCAGAGAAGCTTCTTTCTGCAGTGGTCAGCAGTTAATGCAGAGACTCATAACTGGTCAAAGCATGAGAATAAGTGACCACTGAGTGCTCAGTCCTAACGGGGATAGCTATATCAATTCCTTCCTCACAAGCTTCAGGGAACATCGTGGAAGAGAAGGCAGAAAGAATGCAGAAGCCAGAAGATGGGGAGGAGTTGCTGAGAAATGCTGTTTTCTTGACATGACATGACATGACACTCATGAACACACTGCAGCTGTGGTTCCTGCACAAGACCAGTACAAGATGAGGCCAATAAGCTCAGTCAACATTGCAACAGGCAACACTAACTGCACTCAGTGGGTATTTTTTTTTTTTTAAGAAAAGAAATGATGTGGTGAGGGGGATGAGTTAGGGGCGCTTGGGAAAGTGGGGGAAGAGATTTGGGGGATCAAGATATGTTGCTTATGCTGGGCATGGTGGCAAACACCTTTAATCCCAGCACTCAGGAGGCAGAAGCAGGCAGATCTCTGCCATTGAGGCCAGCCT